AAAATATTTTTTTAATAATAAAATAAAAAAATTAAAAATAAATAAAAAAGAAGTCTCCCTTTTAAATACCTTTTAAGTATATAATACAGTATTATTAATATGTGCACATTTTTATGCAGCAGATATCTAGTACTTTTTTCATCTTTCATGACTAAAACTCTAGATTGATTGAATGGAAGCTGTCTCTTTCCCCTCCTCTCAGCCCCTGGAAACCACCATTTTATTTTCTGCTTCTATAAGTTTGACTAAGTTAGCTATTTCATATATGTGGAATCATGCAGTGTTAGTCTTTCTGTGATGGTTTATTTCACTTAGCATAATGTTCTCATGACTCATCCATGTTGTAGTTCATAGCAGGAACTGATTAACAAAGAAAACAAAAACTCAGCTAAAATCGGGCACAGGACTTGAATAGAGATTTCAGCAAAGAAGACATACAAATGCCGAACAAGTGTAAGAAGAGAAGCTTAACATCACTAATTATCAGAGAAATGCAAATCAAAATCACGATACCACTTTACTCCTGTTAAGATGGCCATTATCAGAAAAATAGAAAATAACAGATGCTGTCCAGGGTATGGAGAAATTGAAACACTTATGCACTATTGGTAGGAATATAAAATGGTGTAGCCATTAATGGAAAACAGAATGGAGCTTCTTTGGGAAATTAAAAATTAAATTACCATGTGATCTAGCAATCCCTCATCTGAGTATCATTCAAAAGAATTAAAAACAAGATCTTGAAGAGATTCGAGCAGTCCCATGTTCATCGTAGTATTGTCCACAATAGCCAAGAGGTGGACACAACCTAAATGTCCATCAATGGATAAATGGATAAATTTTGGTACATACATACAAAGCAATATTATTCAACCTTAAAAAGAAATAATCCTTGTTTTTGTTTTCTAACAACCATAAATTTTTTTTTCATAGTACACATTTCATTCAAAAATGGGCTGAGGGCAAAATTTGGCCGCTAGCCAATATTTGTCAATTTGTGGACTAAAGTTTTATTAATTTGTTGATTAATTTGTTGATTTCTCCTTATTTTTCTCTCTTTTATAGTCCATTGATTATTGATTCTGTTCTTTCATGTTTTCCTTTTTCAGTTATTTTCAATTTAATTTTTGTTACTTTTCTAGTTCTTATTGTAGCAGCTGAATTTATTTTTAATAAAAATATTATTGGTATAATATTCTTCCTAAGCACTACTCTAGTGGCACTCCAAGTATTTGATATACTGTGAAATACAATCTACCTTTGTAAGTGTTCCATGCACACTTGAAAGAATAATTTATTCTGCTGTTTTGTGCAGTGTTTTAAAATGTGTATTAGATTAAGTGTTGCTCAAATTTTCTATATCCTTACTGACTTTCTGGCTACTTGTTCTATCAGTTGGTGAGATCGGGTTTTGCATTGTTTAGGTACAATTACAGATTTCTCTATTCTTGCAATTCTATCAGTTTTTGTTTCATGTATTTTGAAACCCTGTTATTATGTGCATAATTATTTAAAATTGTGCATTCTATTGATGAGTTGATTCCTTTGTCATTATGACATGACCTTCTTTATTCCTTATAATGTCCATTACTCTAAAATGTACTCTGTATAGTATTTATTTTGTATTTATGTTTATGTATTAATATAACCTTCCAAGCTTTCCTTTGTCTCGTGTTGTTTATCATTTCCATCCTTTTCCTTAAACTTGTGTATTTTCATTTTAAAATAGATTTCTTATAAGTAGCATATAGCTGAGTCTTGCTTTTTTATCTAATCTGACACACCTTGACTTTTTATTGGACTGTTTTGACCATTTAATTTTATTTTGTAATTAATCTAGGCGGTCTTAAATCTACCATCTAGTTATTGGTTTTTTATTTATCCCCTCTGTTTTGTTCCCCTCTTTTCCTACCTTCTTGTATATTGAGCATGGTTTTCTTCTTTTTATGACATACTAACTATATAACTTTTTTTTTAAATTTTAGTGGTTACTTTAGGGCTTATATTATATTTTCTAAACATCACTGTTTAACTTTCAAGTGATGTATACCACTTCATATAAAGTGTATAAATCTTAAAATAAACTCTAATTTCTCCACTAGCTGTCTTTCAAGTATTACTCTTATATATTTTACTTACATGTTGTAAACACTTACAATACAATGTTATTTTTATTTAAATAGTTGTATGTTTAAAAGATTTATGTGATTTAAAAAAAATTTTTTTTAATTTATTTTCAAGACAGAGAGAGACAGAGCGTGAGCAGGGAAGGAGCAGAGAGAGAGGGAGACACAGCCGAAGCAGGCTCCAGGCTCTGAGCTGTCAGCACAGAGCCTGATGTAGGGCTCATACCCACAAACCGTGAGATTATGACCTGAGCTGAAGTCAGACACTCAACCGACTGAGCCACCCAGGCACCCCTGATGTGATTTTTTTTAAAAGTCACATATTTACAATATGTTTTTTTTTTAATTATTCTGGTATTCTTCATCACTCTGTGTATACTCAAATTTCCATCTTGTATTATTTTCCTTCTACCTAAGGGGCTCCCTTTAAATTTTCTTATAAGGAAGATCTACTTAAAATGAGTACTTTCAGGCAGGTCTAGTACTCCCAAGGTCATTTTCTTTGAGGAAATTTTAGATGGTATTGTGTTTTAAACTAAAGTATCCATATGATTCTCATTAGTATGCATTAATACAATTTATTTTCTATGAAGCTCTTATATCCTGTGACCTTGCTTAGCTCACATATTAATTCTTGGAATATATAAATATAAATATAAATACATAAATAAATTCTGGGGATTTTCTATATACACAATTGCAGATTATGTCATCTTTATTTCCCTGCCTGAATGCCTTTTATTTCTTCTTCTTGCCTTATTGTTCAGGTTAGAAATTCCAATAGACTTGTTGAAAAGAGTGGTAAGAAAGAATATCTTTGCCTTGTTTCCAACCTTAAGAGAAAACATTAGACTTTCACCATTAAATATGATATTAACTGTAGAGTTTTTTTGGAGATATTCTTTATTAGATTAAAGAGGTTCTCTATTCCTACTGTGCTGAGATTTTTTTTTCATAAATGGTTATTGGATTTTGTAAAATGATTTTTATGTGTTAATTTATCATACTATTATGTCAATTGATCAGTTTCTTTTTAACCTCTTGCTATTGTGGATTATACTGATATTTTAGATTGCTGAATGCTGAACCAGTCTTTCATACATTGAGTAAATTCTACTTATCCTTGTTGTAAAATTAATTATTTTTATATATTCTTGGATTTGACTTGGTAAATTTCTGTTGAGGATTTTCGTATATGCATTCATAATAGAATATGCCTAGAGGGTTTTTTGTCTTCTATTTTTTTCCCCTTCTGTCGTTGTCTGACTTTCTTCTTTTCTTTGAGAAATATTTAATATTGGTTTAGAATTCTGTGTTCATAGTTTTTGTTTTATTTTGTTGTTGTTTGTCTGTTTTCAGTAGTTTGAACATGTTGCTCAACAATCTTTTTGTTTGCATTATTTCTAATGAAAAATGTGCTGTCATCATTTTGTTTGTTACTGTGTATGCAACTTTTCCCTCCCTTTGGATACTTCTAACGTTATGTCCTTATTTCTGATTGTGAGCAATTTGAATGTGGTATGCTTTGGTTTAGTGTTTTTGTGCTTCTTTGGTTGGGTTCATTGACCTTTTAAAATCTGAGGCTTATTTTTGTTAGCAAATTTGGGAAATTTCAACTGTTATTCTTCCAGTATTTTTCTTTCTCACCTCTTTGTATTCTCCTTTGGGAACTCCAATTACAAGCCTATTATACTGTTCACTGATGCTCTGTTCATTGTTTAAAAATTCTTTTTTTCTCTCTTTGTTCCATACATGATAATTTACTATATTTCAAGTTTCTTTTTTCTGACATAATCTTCTATTAGTTATATTCAATGTATCCTTCATCTCAGACATTGTATTTTTCATTTCTTTTTTTGTAAGTTTATTTATTTTGAGAGACAGAGAGAGAGAGAGAGCGAGCACACATGTATGCACACAAGTCAGGGACAGAGGGAAAGAAAGAATCCAAGCAGGCTCTGTGCTGTGCCCATTGTGGGTCTCAATCTCACTAACCATGAGACCATGACCTGAGCTACAGTCAAAAGTCAGATTCTAGGGGCCCCTGGGTGGCGCAGTCGGTTAAGCGTCTGACTTCAGCCAGGTCACGATCTCGCGGTCCCTGAGTTCGAGCCCCGCGTCGGGCTCTGGGCTGATGGCTCAGAGCCTGGAGCCTGTTTCCGATTCTGTGTCTCCCTCTCTCTCTGCCCCTCCCCCGTTCATGCTCTGTCTCTCTCTGTCCCAAAAATAAATAAAAAACGTTGAAAAAATTAAAAAAAAAAAAAGTCAGATTCTAAACCGACTGAGCCACCCAGGCTCCCCTGTACTTTTTATTTCTGAATGTTCAGTTTAGATCTTTTTATATCTTGCTTATCTCTACTTACCTGTGTAAACATGTTTAATACAGTTACGGTAGATTTTTACGTCTATATTTCCTAATTGTTATATTTGTGCTAGTTCTGAATCCACTACAATTGATTGATTTTCCTCCTCATCATGGGTCATTCTTTTTTTCTGCTTTTTCGCATGCCCCGTAATATTTTATTGACTGTGAAGCATTATGAATTTTACCTCTCTGGGCCCTGGATATCTTTGTATTCCTGTAAAAAGCCTTGAGATTTCTTAAGGGACACAGTTAAATTATTAGAAACAGTGATACTCTTGGATGTGGATGTTAAGATTTGGTTAGTGGAGTCAAAGCAGCAATTATTCTCTCTACTTATGCAAAATGCTTCTGAGTAATATTCTTTGAATTATGAGTATTCTGTTCTGACTGGAAAAGATCAGGTATAATTCCCTCTAATCCATCTGATGGTCTTTCCCCAGCCTTAGTTTCTTCATACATAAGCACTGATCAGTGCTTTTTGTTTCAACGTTTATTTATTTTGGGGACAGAGAGAGACAGAGCATGAACGGGGAAGGGGCAGAGAGAGGGAGACACAGAATGGGAAGCAGGCTCCAGGCTCTGAGCCATCAGCCCAGAGCCCGACGCGGGGCTCGAACTCACGGACCGCGAGATTGTGACCTGGCTGAAGTCGGACGCTTAACCGACTGCGCCACCCAGGCGCCCCTGATCAGTGCTTTTTGGACACCTTTTACAGATCTTTAATGTTAGTTATCTCTATGTGCAGCTATATTCTTTCTGGTTCTGTCCTTCATACTAGTTGTCTCAGTCTCCCTGGACTCAGCTTTTTCTCGGTCTTTCTCTTTCTGGAATTCTGTGCTCTGCCTGGCCTCCCCTCCCTGCATTGCATTTGGTGTAGTCAATCAAAGCCAGAATCTGGTGCAGTTTTAGTGGCCACACCCTTTGCTTTCCATCTTTCAGAGATCACAATCTTTTCCTGAAGCCCAGTGTCCTGAAAACCATCACTTCATATATTTTGTCTGTTTTCTGGTTGTTGCAGAGAGAAGACCAATCTAGTCCTTGTTGTTCCATTTATTGTAGCAGAAGTACTTCTTCACTTCTTTAATACCTGTGTGACTTTGTGCAAGTCATATTCCCTCTCTCAGTATAATAATAGTTTCTGCTTCACCACTATTAATGCAATAGTGCAAGCAAGAATATTATATATTAAATCTGTATTACAGAGGGCATAGAATAAGATATAGGCTCCATACTTGATTTAACATTTAATTGTATCAGGAATTTATAAAAAGTGTTATTGTTTCTTTGTACATAATACTAATAGAGCAAAAGTCAGAATTAAGAACTTCTTAATTAATTTATTTATTTTTGAGAGAGAGCGAGAACATGCAAGCAGTGGGGAGGACAGAGAGAAAGGGAGAGAGAGAATCCCAAGCAGGCTCTGCCCTGTCAGCACAGAGCCTGACACAGGGCTTGAACTCATGAATTGTGAGATCGTGATGTGAGCTGAAATCAAGAGTCAGACCCTTAACCAACTGACTCACCCAGGTGCTCCCAGGATTAAGAATTTTTGTGAATAATGATAATAATTTAAACATCTGATGTTCTCAAAAAAGTAGTGCATATTTTTTAAAAACTAGGCTAGTAGGCTAGTTAATTTAATAAAACAATTGGAGGGCAATAAATATATAAGCTTAAAATTAAGTTCACAGTTATTGGACAATAACGTGTTAATTTCAGGATACTTCTCCAAAGAAGTAATTAGAAATGAATAAAGATATACCTGGGTAAAAGGTATCAGGTGTTTTTATGTGTAATATAGTGCTTCTACATGTAACTAAGTGCCTAATGTAAGAGTCTATGTATATAAATTATGATTTAAACACTTTAGCTATTAAAAATAGTATTCTGGGCACCTGGGTGGCTCAGTTACTTGAGCATCTGACTTTAACTGAGGTCATGATCTTGCAGTTTATGAGTTCAAGCCCCACATCTGCTCTCTGCTGTCAACACACAGCCTGCTTCAGATCCTCTGTCTGCCTCTCTCTCTGCTCCTCCCCTGCTCATTCACTCTCTCCCTCTCTCGCTTACAAATAAATAAACATTAAAAAAATTAAAAATTTATATTCAGTGACATGGAATTTCTGCTTATGCAGAAAGTGAAAAACAAGTTACAGGTTTTAAATACAGTACAATTTGTCATCATGTGCCTTGAATTTTTTGGAAGTTATATTCAAAACTATTTTATGATTATATCTGAATGGTCAAATTATGGTTAGTTTATTTTTCCTTCATTATGTTCTCTATTTTGCAATATTTCACTAATTCATATGTACTTTCTTTCTGTAATGAGGAACTGGAAGTTAAGTTTTATGCCAATGTTTTTATTAAAAAATAGAAGAGCATCAGTGTTCTTAGGGAAAGTATTCTGACATCATATTTGATTTGATAATAAATCTCTACCCAGGGATAGATTTGCTTAAAATTCTTTTACTCTGTTAAATTTATGTTTTATCAATATAAAAACTTGCCCTAAGGGTTCTTGGGTGACTCAGTTATTTAAGCATCTGACCTCAGCTCAGGTCATAATCTCAAAGTTCATGAGTTTGAGGCCCGCATCTGGTGAGCTCTAGTCCTACTTTGGGATTCTGTCTCTCCCTGTCTCTCTGCCCATTGTGGGATTCTTTCTGTCTCTCCTGTTCTCTCTGTTCCTCACCCACTCATTCACTCTCTCTAAGAAAGAAAGAAAAGAAAGAAAGAAAGAAAGAAAGAAAGAAAGAAAGAGGAAGAGAAAGAAAGAAAGGAAAGAAAGAAAGAAAGAAAGAAAGAAAGAAAGAAAGAAAGAAAGAA